ATTGCATTTTGATAAAACTGCTTCGTTCGAATACATAGGTATGTTTAGGCAGACTAAAAGTCGTATGGGTTTCCCCAGGGGTAGGTCCTTGGCAGAAGGGATAATGTGCAGGAATTTCTGGAGATACGGGGTATGTATGTGTATGTAGTGAGGAGATGCATGTTTGTTGATCGTTTAGAAGTGGGAAGTTTATTGGAAGTGCCATGTGTACCAACCGTAGTACATGATTATTTTTAGAAGTACATATTCCATTAGAAGAGAAAGAATACTCTTAAGAAAGTAGATTAAAGTGATATTTAATGTCACTCGTTATATCATTTAGTATTAACTAAATGTTTTAATTTAACATAGGAAATGTAGGAAATCTCTTTGTAATTCTTGTTTAAAGAATATCTAAGGTTTATCTAAAATTTCATCTAAATTAATCTAAAATTAACCTACAATTTAAAGTAGTAAACAAAAAGCGTTTCTCGTGTTTCTATCGATATAGGTTACGAAAAATCAAAAAGATTTTCATCGTCCGTCATGGTTATTTGTGATAAAAAAAATTCGAATTATTTATATTAGTTTTTTAAATTCTGAAAGATCTTGAAATCTTTGGATAACTATCTCCAACTTAATTAACAAACAATTTTTCTCAAACTTTAATAAATTTTTAAACGTACTTGCAATTCGCGAGAGAAAAGGATTTTACATACCAATTCATATTAACGAAAAATCAGAGAAATTCACGTGATAATATTGAACCTATCCTTGTAGAAAGAGGTTTAGTCGTAATATTCGATATTAGGGTGAATTAGAACAAATGGGTTTCCCCAAGAAAATACTTGGAAATAGGTTATTCCTTAACTCTCGTAAGTTGAATGTTATCATTTCAATAATCTTTTACAATTTTTAACAATAACCTAACCTTTGAAGTAAAAATTAATTTTAAGCTTGAATTACCGAAACATTATTAAAAATATTATTACAATTTTAACATTTCCAATTAAGAATTCTTCGATATAGATTAATGAAACTTTATTAACATGTTAATGAAACTTTTGTTTTTGTTAGATACAAGCTCAGTATCTGGAGAACGGACGCGGTTCACTTTGATAGTTGACGCATCCGAAAAAATAATAAGACCAGGATGCAGGTTTTTCCAAGGGAGGAACTGTTAGGAGAAATGTATCGGAACTGCATTTACCATCTATTTCAAAAGTATCACAGCATTTTCCCAGTGAAGAAATTCTTCAGCCATAGATTCATGCTATTGTAAATTTTATTATCAGTTTCAATATTGATATATGTACTAGTAGGAAGCACTTGGATTCGTATCAATGGACTGTGTTCTTGGAGAATATATTTCTGGGATTTCGATCGATACTATGATCAATAATGACGCATCCTAGAAGGAAAGGCGCCACCAAATCTTAATCGATGACGTTTTTCTTTTGAAAATGGCGCAACACATCTGTTATCTATTTACTATTTTCAAGTAGTATAACACACATGGAAATTTCTAGAATATATTTTTACAATAATTATTTCCAAAATGCATCTAGAAAATAGGATAAAAGTATATACTCTTTTTTTTTATTGCAACTTTGTAAAAATGAAATCTTATTGACATATTTTTTCATCTTCAAAGAAAGGTCAGAAAAGATTAAATATTATTGCATTGTTTTACCTTTTCTGCAGTTTTTATTATCTCTGGTAAACAGACGATACCATCTTTTACATTGCATGACCTACCCTGTGCTAATATCAGTCGATCGTTATTAAAATAGCCTAAGTCACGTATTTTTCGCTTTAAGATTTTTCAATCTTGATATTTTTCCAATTTTATCACACGATTAAACTTGTAATGAATAATATTATTTATTTGTATACAAATAAATGCTGCGATTGTGCCACAGGTCACGTTCGCACTCGGGAAAGATCCAGTTACGTACACAGTGTCCTTTAAAGATTGGAGTCCGTTCATCTTATAGGGTGCATCCGCAAGCATCGTACAGTCACATGTGAAAAATACAAAAATGTGTTCAAAATAAGAATGAAACTTTTTCAGAAGAATCAAGTTTGAAAATTTCTTACACACACGTGCAACTCTTACTACGCCATTTTGTTATTAATTATATTTATCCGTATTAATATTTATAAACAGTAATAGTG